CCACAAAGTATGTTATAAAATGAGTAACACCGATAATAAGTTAATTATAGTACACTGAACCACCTGGTTACTTATCAAGGGATTCAAGAGAATAAAAATGATGAGGTAAACACTAAAATATAAACTTATTTTTAATAATTTGTTAAATAATTGATATTAATGTGTCTGATACCATAATATTTTTTTGTTTATACATAAAGGTATACATTAATATTTTATATTAGTTTAATAATGACAAATCACTTCAAAAAAGCATAATTTTTGTTATTACATGTGTTTCATTATTTTCTGTCACTAGATGACTGCTGTTAAAACAAAAGCTGACAAAGATCAAGATGTCCCAGATACTACTACTGCTAAACCTGAAAGAACAATACAAGAGAATAAAAATGAGGTGAGCCATTAAATTAAGTTTCATAATTAATTTTATTTTAGGAACAATCAAAACCATCTGCAAACACAGAAGGAACTACTAATATTGAAAGAGGAGCAAGTTTAGCACCTTCTACTGTTACTAAATCATTGCCACAAACTGAAGCTGATGCGGAGAGTTCATCACAGGATGGTAATTATATTGCTACAATGGATAGCTATAAATTTTTATTTATTTATGTTTGTAGATTCACATTCTTCCTCAGCTTCTCCTTCCTCTCCTCATGCTGTAGAGAGAGGCAAAGAAAAAAAAACTAATTCTACTGCTGCACATTAACATGCGAAAAGGTATCTACAGAATTGTAGTTAATTTTTTGACAGCTAGTCCTTATCTAGACTTGTGTTTGTCAATCTAGAATATTTTTTAATAATACATATAGTGTTATTTTTATAGTAATTTTAAATTAGCTATTTTACATAGATTATATCATTTATAATTTGTTACATTGAAGTTTTTATGTAAAATTCATGAATTCTAAATCAATTAACTATAGATCTAAGTATTATAGGTGTAGTGTTAATTTACTTCAATAATAATTTACAACTAATAACTTAACTTTAATTTAATAACCACATGCACTACTATTTAAGGAAGAACCCAATTGTAATTCAGTTAGTCTTAGTCCTAGTCTGTTAGTCTAAATTCTCGAACACTCATCATCTTCAAATTCTCAACGCTCGACCTCCTTTTGATCTCCTATCAGACTCTCATCCGACTCTCATTCAATTCTCTCGACTATCCCAATCGATAAGTCTATAATCACACACACACATCTTGCTCACACACATATTGTGCTTATCAATTTCATTATTATTAATATTCACTGTCTCTTCTACTCTAACTCTCATCTGTTATTATTAAGTGTGTTAACACATACATTTACAGTTGAGTTTTGTAAATTAATTCTTATTACTAACAACTCAACATAGGTATATTTTGCTTTTGAGGAACTGGCAGAATCTTTTATGATGATTGCTTGATGTATTTAAAACACCATACTGTATTCATTCACCAGGATAGGATCAGCATGTAAGGTGTATGCAGCAATGTCTTGATAATTATAATTGTTAATTTAATTTTGTTTAATGCTTGTTAATTTAGAATTTTTTTAACAGTCAGATTGGTCTTTATTTTAAAAAATATTTTTATTAAATCTTTCAATTTGATAAAATACTCTTCCTTATATTGTGTAAGCTATTTGGGCCTGTTCTAAGCTCAAATTTTTTTAGTTATGGCCATTTTAAAATGAGCCTACTTCTGAAACTTTTCCTTTAATATACTATATTTGTCTTTTCCAAAAAATGGCTCCAAAATCACCCCAAATTTTTTACAATAAGTGGTGTGTGTGTTGGTGGCTCATTTAGGCTCACTATAGCATTAGCTGTAACTGCTAGAATAGGCAATGACAGCTGCTCTGCATTTAAATTGCCGTTATATTTAATTAAGAATTTAAAATATTTTCAAAAAATAAAATTAGCAAAATACTAATGAAGAGTCATTGTTTGTCTTCATAAATCTTTGGCTTGATGAGTATCACACCACTTGACATTTCATCTTTATTTCAGCTTGAACCTATCAATGATAATATTAAGATTTGCTATGAGTAGTTACTGTTAGTACAGTCTTGTTATATTCCTCTTGTATGTAGTGCTCTTAGCATATCACTAGCAGTAGTAGCCACTAGTGATCCCAGGTAGTGTCACGTGGAGGCAGCTAGCACTACATTGCTGCCCAACCTGTAATGATAGTTAACATTATATTGACACTAACTGAATGGACTTCAACCTTTAACAGGAACTTGGTTTTAACAAAGAAAGGTTAATACATGACACTATTGATACTATACTGTAAGATCTTGAGTCTTTCAAACAGGAACATGGTGTTGATGTGTAGATGATGATAACCTTACCTTATGCAACCAAGAGTATGTATCTCTTGATATAACCTAACTATGTATATATGGGTATGTATGGGCATCCTTATGAGTCCACTCATTATATAAGGGGAACATAAATAGGGTCACCTGTATGAAGAACATGTATGAATTGGGTCCCCTATATGAGGAACATGTATGAATTGGGTCCCCTATATGAAGAACATGTATGAATTGGGTCCCCTATATGAGGAACATGTATGAATTGGGTCCCCTATATGAGGAACATGTATGAATTGGGTCCCCTATATGAAGAACATGTATGAATTGGGTCCCCTATATGAGGAACATGTATGAATTGGGTCACCTGTATGGGGAACATGTATGAATTGGGTCCCCTATAAGGGGAACATGTATGAATTGGGTCACCTGTATGAGGAACATGTATGAATTGGGTCACCTATATGAGGAACATGTATGAATTGGATGAGTAGGGAGAGCTGGTTGCTATGGAGTTTTTTATCAGTAGCTTATGAGCTGTTGAACATGCCAGACACTCCTCAGTCGTTTGATGCTGATCCTAATATCATTGACTCTGTGTTTAGAGGGTTACTGGGTCAGAGGCCAGGGCTCGTAGCCAATCAGAGACAGTTTGATTTCTGTCATCGGATTCTGGAGGAGTGTTTATGGGGCGTGGCTTCAAAAGGATTGGGAGGGACAGAGGAAAAGGGAAAAGGGACAGGACGATTATTTAACATATTCAAGAAGAAGAGAACTAGTTAGCCGAATAATAATAACTAGTATTGTTATTATTATTAATTATTAATTATTATAATTATACATGATATATTGTACGTGTCATTATATACATACAGAAACCTGTATACATATTAATATCATTATTTTTGTTAATTTATTTTTAATGACAAAGCTTTTAACTCAATACATGCAAATCTTGACCATTACAAGTATGTATGTATAGGCATGCACTAATGAAGAGCCAACTTCTGAAAATTTCCCTGTATTATAGCCCATGGTTTTTTCCAAAAAATGGCTCCAAAATCATCTCAAATTTTTATTACATTTCTTGATACATATTAATGTCCTTATGCTATGTAGAAAGTTTGAGCTGATTCCAAAGTAAAATTTTAAAGTTACATGCAGCCATTTCAAAAACAAGCAGATTTCTGAAAATTTTGCTTTATGGTTTTTTCCAAGAAACGGTTCCAAAATTACCCCAAATTTTTATTATATTTTCTGAAACAAAAGTTTCAGCCAATTCAGATTGATTTTTTTTGAAATGAAGCATTTGACAAAATTATTATGCCGATTTTTGAAAAATACTCAAATTGAATCTGAAAGTTCAGTTTTTAATGAATGATTTAAAGTTTTTATGATTTAATCAAGATATTAATTCAGCTAGAGTCACAATTTTTGAAATTAGAAATTTATTAAAATAATTAATGAATAATTAAAATAATTATAATATATTATTATATATAATAATGATCATGCACACGCCCACACACACACACACACACACACATCTCTAAATTTAGTCACTAAAATGTGTTTTACTACAAATGGTTCACATGTTAACTGCTCCTCCTCTGTATCCTCTGACTTCTCCATAAGCAGGATTAGGATTAGTAGTATTATTGTTATTAGTAATCATTAAAGTGTTGAATTCATATGCTTCATTAGGTGCAGTAGGTACCTCTTGTTGCTGCTGTTGTTGCATTGAGGCAAACCCTGTAATTAGTAGTTAATGATAAACAGTACATATACTTACTCTTTAACTTCCTTTTATATGTCATAACAAGTACAGTGAGAATTATTATTATTATTAGCAATAATATAATAACAACACCTGATGATGATGCAGTGATAACTATAATAACATTCATAATCTGCATCATGAATACATCATACTAACCAGTGCTGACATTAAGAGTTGCTGAAACAGGTGTAACTATAATAACACATAAATAATGTGTATTATATGTGTAATACTAACCAGTACTGACATTAAGTGTTGTTGGAACAGGTGTGGTGGTAGGGAGTGTTTGTATTGTAGTAGTGATACTAAAATGTGTATTAATGGTACCAGCAGTACCAATAGTACTAGTAGTAGCAGTGAGTTTAGTGACATTAGTGATGTTAGGAGAAGGAGGATATGTATCTGTTAATGTAATACTTTTAAAATAAATATGTAATAAATATATACATACTTACCAAATGCTAGTATAAATGGTTCACTACTACCAGCCTCATTACTAAATACAATACTGATATTACACTGTTGATACTGAGGGACTGAAACTGATCCTGTTATATCATTCATATTCCTTATTTGGTAAGTTGTACTGCTATCAGTTCCATTACACTGTACAGTAACTGTAACAAGTTCAGGAGCTTCACCAGTACACTCCAGTATAATCTATAAATTAATAATAATGGTATTAATGAAAGTATTAATAGCATACTTGGGGGATATAGAACTGGACAATAACCACATCTTGTGTATAAGAGAGTATGTCAAGTGATGTGTTTTCTACAGCTCTAGGTACTATGAAAGATTAATAAACATATTAACATGAAGAAAGTGTATGTACCTCTTTGATATGAAAATGTATCATTATTAGATATTCCTACTCCTAATTCATTAACTCCAGTTATAACATATGTATAACGATGAATAAATAAATTATTATCCACAAACTGATAACTGGTATCATATACTGCTACAGTAGTCACTAGACTACCAGTAATAGCATCATATATTCTTAGTATGTAATACAGTATAGGTACTCTATCATCAACTGTAGGAGGAGCAGTCCATGTTATATCAATAGTAGAACAGCTGTCAATTGAAGAGTTAATGTTAGTAACTGGACTAACTTTACCTATATGTGAGTTAATTTATAAGTTATAATTTGAAGAATAGACAAAATGAAGTTTGGCCATACAGTACAAAATGTTTGACTTACTAAATCCAAAAGATGACACATTATCAAATGTACCTCCATTATTACTCAGTGATACATTAACAATAAATGTATTTAAATTATTAGGTACAGTTATTACTCCAGTAATCATCAGTTGATCATTAACTTGTGTTGGTATACTCTTACTGTCTAATACTGTGTTATCAGTATTCAGTATACTAACTGTTATACTAATGGGATACTCTCCTTTACATATTGTACTGACCTATGAGTGTTAAGGGAATAAGGTGAAATGATGTTATGTAAAACTTGTATTCATAACTGCTCATAGCTTATTATAGTGCATATACTTACATCAATACTGATATTCAATGATATTAGCTGTCCATCAATTACTGGTACCACTGATACAGGAGGAGTAATGAGAGGAACTGAAAGATACGCTGTGAATATATACATGAAGCCAGAGTAGGACTAACCTCTTTCATAATAAAAACTGATATTATTAGATGAACCTATTCCAACATCATTAATAGGAGAAACTGATACATTATTTAATATACAAGGATCAGGATTAGTAGCTGATAATATAATACTCTTGTTAGTAGTAGTAATGTTCACTAATCCATTGACTATATAGTATCCAGTGATAGGTACATTATCCAGTGTATAAGGAGCTGTCCATGTTAATAATACACTGGATCCATTAATAAAGGTATAATCCAGATCAACAACACTATCCAATAGACCTAAAGAAGTGACTAATGATACAATTAAACTGATACATTACTATACCTTGTATTGTTAGTGTAGCATTGTCACTCCTGATATTATCAGGAGCAGCAATACAATGTATAATACTATTATTATTAATTTCTCTTGCATGAACTGATAGCTGTCTTCTTCTTATAGTTCCATTAATAGTGTATTGACCTAATTCAGTAAATCCTCTGTTAGCATTGATATCTTCAGCCGCTGGTGTTTCACCAACATAGAAGAAAATGAAAGAAACTCCAGTTGCTTCACAAGTAAAGGTCACAGTTGAATTGACACTTGTATTCACTGATACTGGCTGAGTTATATATTCTGCAAGACAATATCTTATTAGGAATCCACAAATAACTGTAAAGAGCATCTCAACCAGTCAACCACGTCTCCATAGACTGATTCAACGAAGCAACAACACAAATTACCTGTATTCATGATGATATTGATTTATAATCTAGATTCTAGTATAGGCGTGGCTGATCTGAGCAAACTTAAACCAAACGAAGATGTTGCTTCAGTCATGTTATTATTATTTGTGTTTTGTTTCGCTATATTTAGTCACTCTTTCTTCAATTTGTACTGAGGCAGGTATGTTATAATCTTGTAAAACTAACCCTCTGTACGATTCTGTTTCTTTTAAATGTCATAAACCATGACTATCTCTAGTTTATGATGGGCGTCTCTATAGCATCAGATAATTGTGGGTGCATGAGTCCAGCATAATGGGTGCACTTGCTACTATTTTATAGACAAATTATTGACTCAGTGGGTGCATCTTGGTCAATGGAGTGCCAATTAATGCATCCAATGGACCCCCTAACAACTCCCCTGGCTTTTATTAGCCATATTAGACTTTCCGACTGATTATGAGCATACTTATGCTTTAGCTGCCTGCTGTAGCTAAGAATGTACACTCAAAACAATCATGCATG